TCGCAGGGCTGCGGGGCTGGATGCTGACTGCCTGAGCACAAAGGACAGCGGGCACGGCGAGAGTGAGGCGGAGGACCGTGATTCAGAGAGCGGGTTTGAGCTCTCCGTGCAGCAGCTGGTGGGAGAGGAGCTGGAAACCCTCCTGGAGCCGCAGGCAGGTGAGGTGGCCTCGCTACTGGGACCATGCTGGGGCTGGTGGGGGGCTCCAGCAGCGCGATTGCCTCAAATAACACACTAACCCCATTCAGAAGCTAAAACTGGCTGGCCCGTGGCAAGCCAGGGGACATCTCATATCCTAGGGTGGCTCTGACAGTGGCAGATGCTTGGGACAGCAGGTATGGGACCATCCTATGCTGTTGGTACCAGGCAGTTTACAGCAAAGGGACTTACTGAGCTTCACATGGGATTTTTTTCATGTTTAACGACTCTTGGTAGATCTTTCCCCCCATAGATGTGTCGTCTGTTGTTGAGATGATTTGTGAGGTTGGCCTCTGTAGGGGTGAAGTCCAGTTTAACTATGCACCCTGTGAACACTCTGCCTCCCATGCTGAGCTGGGCCCCTTCATTTCATGGTCTCCTAGTCCGTGCAGAGTGAGAGAGGTGAAGCATTGGCCTTGTCGAGCCCCTCATGATGTTACAGACCCCTTGAGCCCCATCCGGCACCTATTTCCTACCAGGCTGAACTCGTCCAGTCTTGTCTCCTGTGACCAACCTGTTACTACTTTTAGTGTACCTTTATTGAGATGCGGTGACCACAATTGTGCGCAGTGTTTAGGGTACCTCTGCGCTGGTGGTATAAGGAGGTCTTCTGGTTTGTTCTTGGTTCCTCTCCTGCCCAAGCTCCATGCTGAGCTCTGTTACCAGACTGTTGATGGTGACTCCCAAATCCCTCCTCTGTGTGGTGGGAGAGCTATCAATACATGACGTGTCGTTCCCCGTGACAATTATCCAACAGTTGGTGACACAGAAATCCACCAGCCACTTTTTGCTCACGGCACTCCATTATTAGGTCCTTCAGCAACCCCCTGCTTTTATGTCGCTGGGTGTTTTAGTGGAGTCAACACCAATGCCATCCACTTCTCCACTTCATTTATCACTATGTTGAACGGATACTCTGGGACTCCACTAATGACCTCCTTTTGCGGGGAAGGTTATTTATTCCTACCCTCGCTTCCCAGCTTTTAACAGACGTTGGTCCCCGACAGAACCTGGCTGGTAATTCAGGGACAGCTCAGGTCCCCTGCGAGCCTGGCTGGTGCTCTTCTGCAAGCTCAGGTGTCCTCTGTCAACCAGGACTCTTCATCCACCTCTTCCAAAGACGCCAACAAATTTGCAAAACGCAATTCCCTGCCTTGCAAATGTCACGTCAATTCTTGTCTGAGTAGCAGGTACTCGGCTATCTGCCGAGTTTCGCATATAAAGATTTCTATGAATTTGCCTGCACTAGATTCACCTTCATGCGCTTAAAAACTCATGTCACAATTTCTACCTTCCCTTCCTCTGATACCATATTCATTTGAAGCAGTAGTTAATGAACAGCAGTTAATAAACCAAGCAATTTCATATCTGAGTTCCTCTAGCACTCCAGGGTGAATACCATCTGGGCCATTTTCTACATGTTCCTTTTATTGATTTGTTCTAAAAATCTCTTCTACTGGCATTTCAATTTGAAAGAGTTGGGCTGACTCACGTCCTGTAGCAGAAATTTCATTGTGGAGCCTCTGCGCTCCTCCACAGCAAGAGGAACTCATTGAGGTTTGCTGCTGTAGTCATTTTAATTCCAGAGTTGGGCATTTTCTGTGCTCTTGCTTAGAGAGAGAACCACGCTGCTTCTGTCTGTTTGCCTTCCTGCCCTTTTATTTTAGTAAGGAGCAAATGAAGAAAAAGCTGAGTGAAACGAGAGCTGCAAGCTTCCTCGGATTTTAAAGGTCCTGCAGCTGAGAGCAGGGAGCAAAGAGGCTGCCCAGCTCCATCCCATGGGTGTACTGACACGCACCGGTCCCCGTAAAGGGCCTGGTGGGCCTGCTCAGCAGATCCAGTCCTGCCCAGACAGGTAGCACCCTAGAAAATCTGTGCTATGGCAAGGCATATCCATGAAGCGCCATCTCCCACACTTCTTGGATTTGATAGAGAAAAAAACCCCCAAAACCCTTTTGCCAAATGACTGGACTTTCACAGTGAACACCAGCGGTGCATGCTGAGGCTGTGCCAGCGTGGCTTCCTGCCCCTGCAGTAGCGCTGGACGTGACAAAAGAGGCTGCCCTGTTTCAGTGGTGAAAAACAACCTTAACCGTGAGCCCAGACCTTCCCAAAAAGGCAACGGAGCACAGACGGCGGGAGCTGCTGGACTCCTTCCTCCTCTCCCAAACACAAACAGAGAAGTGGACTTGCATCCTGAGAGAGGGAGGAAGGAAGCGTTGCTTGTGCTCAGGGGTATCGTAACAGCTGGCTGAGGCTGTCTGGGCCTTTGTGCTGCTCGCAGCGGGGGGGAACTGCGCGAGTGATCTGTCCCAGCCAGCTATCTGGTTGTTTATGCCGTAAGCATCGAGCTGCAGGCTGAACTCTCAGCACCGCCTATTAACACCTATCCCCCACCAGCGAAACAGAGCGCTCGCAGCAGCAGATGAGAGATACAACTTTATTGATTATAAAAACAACCCCTGCTCCCAAACCACCATTAAAATAAGGCAGTAAAGACTTATCGGTCAAATTAAACGTACCTAATTATAAGGTTTCACGGTCACAGGCCTGTCAGCCCACTGAGTCTTGGCTCTCCCTGCAGCGAGCAGACTACTGTTGTGTCCTGCTCCAGAGCTGAAGCATCAAAATATTTAGGGAATGCAGTGGCTTCTTGCAGACTGAGGAGGAGAGAACTGTGGATGTTTTAGAGCAAAAACATGGGACTTCAGCATGCTTGGGAGATGTCTTAAGGAACAGTCACCGCGACTGAAAGAAAATACTAAGGTTGCAGAAAGAAATCCTGGAAGTCAAGCAACAAGAGAATTTTGGGGCTTCAGCTGAAACAAAAATCTAAGTGATGTATCTGCCCTTCTCTCCTTACCGGGTTTGAATCCCAGCCCTCACCCCCATCCCACCCCAGGACACAGTTGTTTTTCAGAGAAAAAGGACTAATTAGTTGGTTGAGGAAGGAGACTTGTCTCAGTGACTGACGAGCCACTGACTGAGGACCACGTGTCCCAGGCCGTGGCAGGGTATTGATTATCTTCTGGAAGCGGCACGATAAGTGCATTAGAATGGGGACCCTCCTTTCAGAGGTCACTTTGTAAGTCAGAGCCACATAATTATTAAAATGACAGCAGCCCTTGCCGTCTGATTGGGATTGCCGTGTTTTGTTACCAGACACCAGTTATTTGTTTCGCTGCTCTCTGACTCAAAGTGTTTCACAAAGCTGGCGGTCGCTTCGAACCTCCCAGTGGTTCTCGGTTACCCTTTGGCAATGAAGCAATGCGGGGCTGGAAGGCAGCGTCTGTGCACCACACCACAGAATCTTGTTTACCAACTGCAAAGCTCTACCTTAAAAAACAAGAACCTCCGTTTCCTTTTCTGCCGCCTGATGAGGAAGCTATTCCAGGCTCACCCTGCTATGGGGTCCTTCCTTTAATTTCCAGTATATGTTTATTCATGGACAGTTATAATCACTTCTTCTTTTGCCAACACTATTTTAAGCATAAAGATTTCCTTTGTCGGTGCTTATCTCATCAAAATAACGACAGGTTGCAGTCAGATCCCTGGTGAGCATTTGCTTCCTTAGGCTAAGCAACCTCTACCTTTTGGGGTCTCCATCACGTAAGCCTGGACTCGCTCCTGTTTTCATCTCAATAGTTTTCTCTGCACTTCTGTCATTTCAGATCCTCTTTCCTACGGACAGATAATCAGATTTGTATGTAATACTCCTAATCGGGTCTCGCCAGACCTAGTAACAATACCACGGATATGTCCTCATGCCAACAGGGAATACCTTGACCAGCACATTGTACGATTCCATTTGCCCAATTCGGGGCAGAATCACGTTACTGGTACACTAACGAGCCTGCAGCCAACACCCACACCAGGCTCCCACTGCTCATCTGCTTCCAGTTGATGAACAATTACTTTATAGCTCAATTTTTTGTTACTAGTCTTCAACCACCCAGCTGTGCGTTTTATAATCCAGAATTTCATTCTACTTCTGTTGTTATTGTTTTCACAATAACCCATTCCTTTTCGGTCTCAATATGCCTGCTTAGCAACAAATTCCCACCCTAGAGTGACCCTTACGGGAAGTCCACTAGTGACCTCCTTTCTGTCCGATACTTCCCCCTTGAAAGCGTTCCATTGTCGTCTCCCCTTTAGCCAGTCCTAAACCCTCACTTTCTCTGGCTTTGCTAACAATTTAGTGAAGTGCCACTTGAGGCTGCAACAAATGAGAAAGCAAAGTGATCCTAACGGTTATTATATTAAAAAAAAGGAAACAAAAACCCCAGTAGTTTTAAAGCAGTTCTAGTTTGGTTTTTATAAGCTGCTGGTTTAAATGATGCTGCTGGTAGCTTCTCTCTAGACCTGTTTACAATCAGTCCTCTCACAGTTGATTTCAGGAAGTCTCCTCATTTCGCGATTTTTTTTTTCCTTTCTTCCCCCCTCCCCTCTTCTCTCCTGTGGTCTCCTCTACTCCACGTCTCACCAACAGTTCTTGTTTTCACTCCCTCCAGAGCTGGCCCTCAAGAGGCTGACGGCTGCTGACCCAGCATGGGTGGCTCGGCTCTCCTTGCCGCTCACCAGTAGTTACAAGGACAACATCTTCTCCCCTGACTCTCTGCATTCACCTCAGGATGAGGAAGCTGCAAGGCAGGAGAAACCAAGGACCTTTGAGACCTTCGGCAAAGGTGCTGGGGCTGACTCGAATGCCGCTGGGACAAGACTGGCCAGCACTTTCCTTTCAGAAATGAGCACCCTCTTTGAAATGATTTTGTCCCAGAAGGTCCAAGTCCACAATGAAACAGGCTCGGGGCTTCTGCGGCAGCTGTCGGCACGTGGGAAGAGCTTTGGACTGGAAGACAGTGCTCCTGTTCTGTAGGCAGCTTGGCAGCTGTGATAAGGAGATAAGAGTCAGACAGAGCCGCTTTCTGCATTTGGGGTGCACACGTGTGCTTTAACAGGGTCATTGCATCATCCACATCTAGACTGATCACGACAGGCACATTTCTTCCTTTGCCTCACCCCATCGAATTTCTCCATGACTGACTTCACCTTGTTTAGTTCCCTTCTACCAGCCTGTTCTTGCCTTCCTACCTTTCCTCCTCTTCCACCCGCATCTTTCACCTTACCATCACGCTCGAGTCACCCAGCAGCAGGAGGGCCCTTTCCTCCCAGGGCGGGCCGATTGAGGGGAGGGGTTGTTAGGTTAACCACAAGCACAACGCAGTCAGCTACATCTACATCATTATAGACTGTGCACCACAGACGATAAAATATTGCGGTCATGGACTCTGCAACATGCTGCAGAGTTGGGCTCCAGGATCTTAGTTCTTATTTAAATAAAATTGTTTTTTTCTAACACTACCATCTCTGGAACAAGGTGCACTATAGGTGACATAATGACGTGCCTGCAGAAAGCCTGAAATGGCAACTCAGAAAGGGAGATCTGCCTGTCATCTCCCACTGATCCTTTCAGCTTTTGTGGTTCTACCACTGTGAACTTGGCATTTTGTAAAATGCCCCAAAATCAGCACTTCTGCTCTGGCATCTCTGCTATAGCTGCACTAGGTGCCCACAATTCCCTTCTCCATGCTCCCTTTTGAGGCCATTGGATTTTGGAGCGTAGTCCTTGCCCAGAAGCAGACAACAGATGGCTGGAGTCTGCCAAAGGTAACCTGGGAAAAGGGAAGTGTGAAAACACTGTTTTGAAATATTCAGTCACAAGCTTCAACCATATTACAGGTTTTCACTTTGATCTGTATGTATGTGAGCTATAAGACAGTTTTAGGATAATAGCATGGGTAGGAAAACTAAGATACAGATACTAGTAACAGAGGAAGAAGCTCACAGGTGTTGTTAACCATGGGGACGTGCACTTGCAGAGAATGGAAAGACAACAGTGGCATAAGCATCTGGAGTGCATTTGTAGGCTTAGGCAGCAGTGCACGGATGGCAGGTAAGCGCTTCTGGATCGTGCACACATAGGACTCTTCTGTACCATAGTTTGTGCCTTCCAACTATGATAGAAAACACCAGAACAAATTTGGGGCATGCTGGCAAAGCGGCTGCATAGGTGAGAGGAGAGTCATAGAATCATAGAATAGTTTGGGTTGGAAGGGACCTCTAAAGGTCATCCCCCCCCCCCCCCTGCCATGGGCAGGGACATCTTCAACTAGATCAGGTTGCTCAGAGCCCCGTCCAACCTGACCTGGAACGTTGCCAGGGATGGGGCATCCACCACCTCTCTGGGCAACCTGGGCCAGTGCTTCACCACCCTCAGCGTAAAAAATTTCTTCCTTATATCTAGTCTGAATCTACCCTCTTTTAGTTTAAAGCCATTCCCCCTTGTCCTGTCGCAACAGGCCCTGCTAAAAAGTTTGCCGCCATCTTTTTTATAAGCCCCCTTTAAGTACTGAGAGGCTGCAATAAGATCTCCCCAAAGCCTTCTCTCCTCCAGGCTGAACAGGCTATAGCCCACGCTATGGGAATGAGGGTAAGCCATTGCCTCCACTGCTAGCAATGCACGTCGTTGCTTGCTCAGTGACTACAAAAGCGAGGCTGAGAAGAGGCTGCCAGCCTCCCCTCCATGAGAGTGCAGGGCCAGCAGTGCTTTATACACACTGCTTTCTTTCCTTCACCATCGTCACGTTAAACATACTGAACGGACTTCTCCACAGATACCGCAGTTCACAACACAGGTTTCCCCAAAGCTAATTTGCTCATGGTGGGGCTGTCGCATCAGGTGTCTTCGGGTGATATTTTTGGCTTTTATTTTACTGTTAAGTTGAAAAAGAACAGGCAGCAAGCCCCAGCAGACATGATTCTGGAGCATCTCAAGGGTGTCTTACCTGTGTTCCTTTTCCACGCACCTAGAGGTGGCAGTGCCCTGCTTTTAGCATGTACACACACAAGCCACAGCAGCAGACAATCATACAGATAATTTAAAGCAGAGTAAATGAGAAAGCTACCCCTTTCTGCTGCTCTTGGGACCAAATGGCAAAAGCAACAGAGTAAGATTTCCCCAGGTAGACTCTTTAATATCCAAAATATCCACTGTTGTATTTGGAGTCTCCAAAGTGCTTTACAGATGACCCCACTACGCTGATGTTTGCCCCAGCCTGCTAATACTGCCGCGCTGCTAATAGAAATGTCTTGCTGTTTTGTTTCACAAACAAAACAGGCTGTTGCACCAAAACAATGACAGTGAGCCAAATTCTAACTGAGATGCAGCTGTGCAAACCACGAGGGAGGCATTTCTGTGACTGTGAGGAGATGCAGCCCTACGGGATTCCTCTGCATCTTGGGAACGCACACAGGGGACAAACACACAGCACCTCACATCCTCCTCTGGAAAGTTACTTTGATGTGCCTGTCAAAGGACAAACTTTACACAAAAATACATTATAATAAGATGACTAAAAAGGAGACAAATTCCTCTCTTGGTTCAATTTCCTGATTCTGCAAACTGCTTTCAACCCCCCCAACCCTTACCCCCATCCTGTCCTGACCACCGCGTAAGCACGCTGTGGATTATCACAGAATAGGAAATCCACCCGAGGAATTTCCTGCTAATTGTATCCTGCTTGATAAAGGAAATGGTCTAAGAAAGTTTGGTCTGAGCAGAAAGAGAGACCAGACTAGAAGAACAATCAGATGTGTTGAGCTCTGGCTGTGCCCCTCCCTTGCTGAATGGAGACCACAGCAAGTTCAGGATGGGGCCACTGCCTTTGTTTTTCAGAGCCTGATCTACACAAATCACCAGAGCACCATGGCTACAGGAAGCTGGACAGTTTGTACAGATGCCCTTGAACCAGTTTAAACTGGTGTGGACAAACGTCTTTTTCCGGATTCAGCTGCCCCAGTTGAAGAAATTATCATACCAGCTGCTTGCCACTGTCTGCCTGACAGTGGTTACTGCCCGTTGGGAGCATCCCTTTTCCACTTCAGTGAAAATGAGCTGGCGTGCTTAGCAAACATGTACAATGTAAATTTTGAAGAAAACCTTGCTCATCGTGACTCAAAGGGGTGTACCCCTGAGAGCAGCTTACTGCCAGAGCTGAAGGAATAATAACTGGGGACCGAAGGGCACTGACAACGGCGCAGGATGGCTGAGGACAGCCGTTACTTTCACCAGTACAGGTGGATCTGTAAGCCATATCCCACAAAAACCTGTGCCCTAATAATAAGAATGCACTCTCTTGCTTGCACGCAGATTAAACTGCCACAATGGCAATGTAGAGACAAGCCCAGATTGTGCTGGTAGCAGAACCACTGTGGGAACAGCTAGCCTTGAAGTGAGATCAAATTGCCTGAGAGGGCGCAGGCCAGGCCCATCACAGAGTTAACTGCCAACATCACCATATGGTGGCTTGTAAACCTCACTGGGGGACCGTGTGCAAGATGTGGAGGGCTGCTGGAATTATAGCCCCAAATCATATCACCGTGGCATGGTGGGAGTCTATACGTAGCTCTACAGAGAAACGTAGGAGCATAAGAAAGGTCCTTGTATTGGAAGGTAGAGGGCCAGACGACATGGTGGCATAGGAGATATCACAAGGTTTATTCTCAAAACCCCGGTATTTAAAAATGGCTCCTGTCCCACTAACAGCAAGCTTTCTCTTTCCACTCACTGCTAGCCTGCTTCCAGCCCCACGCAGACTAAGAAGGGCTGCCTTCCCTTCTGCCTGCTTGTTTCACTTACTGACTGCTCTAGTAACAGCAGTGGTGGGGCTCCAAGCACTGCAGCTCCAGCGGCGTTGCCCTGTTTCTGAGGGCACGGCTCCATCCTGCACTGCCAAGCGTCATCATGTGGAGTCCGTCTGCGCTCCAAGAATGGGGCAGGGTTAGGGCAGATTGTCTTGGCTGGGTGGCGTGGAGGCCTGCAGGCACACGCTCAATAGCCCAGAAACAGGGGCTAGATGAAGAGGCTCTTATTCCGGAAGGGAATGGATGCTTTGTTTGCACATCTGAAAGTACATTAAAACAAGATATTAATGATGCATCATACTATGGGAACAGCTTCTCCTCTTCAGCTCGACTGGAAATAACTGGCAAGAAGTGGAAAAACTGAAAAGTAAAAGTGCTCCCTTCCCTTCAGTAAAAAGGACTCCTTTTTGCCATGGCCCTGTGCCACCCTTCCTCTGGCAATATGGGCCCTGCTTTTATGGGGTCACTACACGATGCAGTCCCGCACACCCTCTTCCCCCACTGCCCGCGGTACCTTCCACCTCCTCTTCTAACACTCGCAGTCTCTCTCGGGAGTTCCTGTTCCCTGCAGCAGCTGACTGTCGGTAGTGTCTAATCGCTTCTGCCAGGTTCTGCTGCACTCCAAGGCCCTTCTCATAGCAAACGCCCACGTGATACCTGCTTTGGGCATCCTAGCCACAGGAGAAAGCACAGCAATCAGCCCCACACGATGGAGAAGTGACAACAGCACACAAAAGGAGAACAGAGAGTCTTTAACACCTTCTTTAAAGTTTACTGCTCTATCTTTGGTCACCTTCTTTAAAGTTTATTCCTCTATCCCTCAGACCATATCTTCAGCAATTTAGTCCCTTCTCCGAGCACACAGTGAAGCAGAATTTCTTACCAGCTACCTCTGATTCCGCTCCTTCCTATCCCTTTCCAATTAAATTCACCAATTTCCCTTCAACGTCCAGGTCTGTGTCATGGGAACAACGGAACAGCCGTCTCCGCAGAGCACCCTGATTGTCTCAGGGGTCAGAGCTAAGAGGACTTGGGCAGCCTTGACTGCACCCACATCCTGATCACACCCAAACTCTGAGCACGCCCTTTGGACTGCCCTACTACAGTTCACGCAGAAGTCTTGTAAAAACATAACGAATGCCAGAGAGGTACTTGCTGCCGAGGGTTGGAAGATTCCCCTTGGCAGCATCAGGCTATCAGGCCTTCAACACAACAGCACACTGCTATCTTGCTCAGCCCCACCTAATTATATTCCAGAAGAAATCTCAAGCAGCAGAAGTGAAGTCAAGCAAATAAGTGCTAGAGAAAAAGCACCTAAACTACTCAGACATATGTAACTGCTGAGAATGAACTAGAAAGTAGAGGATGTCACTGCAGATGGGTCAGTGAAGCCAAATCCAAACCTATGATCTGTTTATGTGTCAGCCGTGCACTTTTATTTTTGAGGTCCAATGGGAGGAAAAGGGTCTCGCAGATAGTAAAAAACCAAGACGACGGTCCCGAAGACATTGAAAGGATGGAATGGGCTAGTGGTCACACAGACCTTTTCCAGCAGAAAAGCCAGCAACATAACTTGAAGAGTATGACTGCCAGAAACATGATCTAAACAAGGCTTTGCAAAAAAGAAAAGAAGGAAAAAAAGGAAGTAAGTAGCAAGTTTTCTTTTCTCATGGCTTTATTAACATATTGCAAGTGTTGCTGTCTGGGATGTAGCTGGTAGAGGAAAGCGAAGAACTCAATGAGTGGGTGCTTTGCAAAATGTTGCAAGTCTCAGTTTATGACAGCAATAAACTTCTTTAGAGATGAGATAAACATGTTGAAGGATTGGCACTTCAGATGTGACAAGAGACAGGGTTAAATAAGTATGAAGTATTCCACTAGCCGTCTCTTATATGATGAACATCTCGAAGACAAGACCACAAGGAGAAGAGATCCCCAAATTAGCATGGCATAAGTGACTGCGATACACTTTGAAATCTGAAGGTCAGACTCAGTTCTCCAACAACACTCTTTAATATGTTTTTTATATTCTATGGTTGCACACATAAAATAAGGGAGGATAAAAAGTGGTAACCAAAGTAAAATGCAGTTCTCTGAAGCATTGTACTATTTGGAAGAACATTTGTCAAAGTTCCCCCCTCGGCTCTAGCACAGAGCAACAACCTGAGAGAGAAACACTGAACACATGACTTTTTGTGCCTGTTTTCCCTTTTTTGGAGTTGTAGCTAAATGGTGCCGTCCTTGCTTCACCCATGTCCAGCAGTCTTTTAACCATCTGAAAGTAAATTCATGCTCCAGGGTAATGGGAAAAGAACATACTTGTGGAGTCCTTCTCCCAGCAGAATGTGAGGGGTCACATCCCAGGGAGCTGATGGTACATCCGCAGCCAGCATCCACTGGGAAGCAGAGATGGGGAAAGATGATTGAGTTCTGAGAACTGTCATGGCTGTGACCAAAACATGCAAAACGCTGATATACTGGGGGGTACCCCTGGGACCTGCAGTTACCTGCTAGATTTTCTGTTGTTAAGTGCTTACTAGGCATTCAGTAAATGACAATCAACTATTTAATGAGATAATTCATTGTTATATCGTGCAGCATACGCATCTGACATCAGGCTGGAAGAAGGGAGTCAGTGATGCAGCTTATGAGAGATCTTTAGCAGATTTGGAATTAAATACTGTATCAACCATCACGAACGTGATGTCTGAGCTGCTGGGCCTAGTCAGGTCTAATCTCACCAGTGATCTGACAGAGTCTGGATTCTTGAAAGTGGGTGACAACTGAAGTGGTAAAGTTTGCAAGTGATGTAGTGTCATTGAGAGTGATCAAATTTACTGTAAAGAATTAATTAGAGAAGATCTTCAGGACTAAGAGTGGGCAACAGTCACAGAGGAAACTTAGCGTTGACAAATGCAAAGTAGTGCTTATAGAAAGAAATTTGTGAGTCACTGTGATAGTTCCCTGAAACCATCAAGTCACTGCTCAGTAGCAGGCAAAAGGGCAAACAATATTAGGAATTATTGGAAGGGAATACAGAACAAAGCAGAGGATCTCATTATGTCAGATCCCTGGCATGTCTCCATCCTGTGTCCAGTTTTAGTCCAAGCATCTGAAAATGGTCAAAGGAGAATTAGAAAAATAGAGAGAAGACTGACAAGCAAAATGGAACAGCTTAACTACATGGAGAGACAAACTAAACTAGCGCTCTGCAGCCTGCAAAAGAAATGACTCAGAAAGGACATACTAAAAGGCAACAGAATCAGAAGTATTAGCCAGAAGAAGAGGGAATAGCTATTAATTATTTTCCATTACACAAAAGCTGTAAGAACTGAAGTTAAAATGAGTAAGTTCTTCAGAAAAAACTAGCTATTACAATGCAGTGCAAGCTGAAAATGAGCGAACGATGTCACAGTGCTGTAAAGAAACAGAACTGTGGGATGCAGAAACCTGGCTGCAAGACATGGGTTGTCATACTTCTACTCCTCTAAGTGCTGGTAAGGGTTCAGGAGCAGCGCTATGCAGAGATTGTGGCACTGCCCTTCAAAAAAAAAAAAGCAAGCCTGTGTCACTTGGAGAGAGTTCAACAGCAAGCAAGAAAATGGTTGGGGATCTAGACAACATGACGCGTGAAGAGAAACTGCAACAACGGGGGAAGGCTGAATGGAGATTCAAGTATTTAAGTACGTTAAAGGTCCCTGCAAAGAAACAGAAACAGTCTTTTCATCCTCTCTATAGAAGGCAAGAAATAATGGGCCAATTTTGAAGAACAGATTAGAGACAGACATAACAAAGTCCTCAAAATGATACAGTAGTGAAAGAGTTTGACTGAAGAGGGTGTAGACGCTCCATAATGGGAAACCTGTAAAATTATGCTAGATGAATATAAGCACTGGTGCTGTAAGAACTACTCCAACCCAATAGGGCTGTTCCTATATTCATGTTTTGTAGAGTCTGCGCCCCAGGGCCTGTTTCCTCTCCAAGATGCACCCAGGCTCGACTCCATCCTTTCAGACTGTGCAGTAAAATCCTGACACTCGCTCCCATTTCCAAGAAGTCCTGATATCTGCCACCTGTAACCTGCAATGACCCCAAACTGAGAACAATCATAGCTTGCAAAGGGATTACTTACGCCGTTCTTCGCTGCCAGCAGCAGGTACTTCAGACCTCTCTTTTCCTTAGGTTGCAGTCCTCTCATGTAGAACACTCCAAGACAAGCCTGTGCCTGCAACAAAACCACACGATACAAATTAGCCAGGATTTTCTCCATTAATTATTCCAGTTCTTTTACTGATTTTGCAAGTTGTTCAAATGCCGGGGTTACTGCTGCAAGATGGGTGTGCAAAGTACCCTGCTTGCTGCAGAGCCTGTCTTAGAAAAAAATCAGTCTGACATGCTAAACACGAAAAATCACATTTGATCTACAGAACTCCACTATACATGCAGTAACATCACCATACTAACACCGTAAGACCCAGAATATCGTTTCAAACTGCACTGTGGAAGTCAGAGCCAGAGAACGGCTCCTACTCGTGAGCTGTCTGTAAGATACAGCAGATGCACTTCCTGGAACAGCGTGCTACGTGAGATACAGTCACTGCCAGAACGACTGGCATTCACAACACAAGATGGCACATGCCTAAATGCATCTCCTAAAGAGTGGGAAAGGAGGGCAGGGTACACAGATCCATGTGGATGAATCATCTTGAAAAGTCACAGATACAATATGAGGATCTGTTCTTACTTCAAGCATCTCATGGAAGTTCCTCCATCAAAGCGACCTGTACTCTCGGAATTGAGAGGAGACGAAACACAGAGCTACATTTTCAACTGTAGGTCAGTTTTCCTAAGCCAATGGTCTAATCCAGGTGTCTCATCTAAGAGCCACATTAAAAAGCCCAACAGCAAAACAGACAACCAACACTGCTGACACAGTGGGTACCTAGCTGCCTCCCATCTGCAGGCAGCGCTGTCTCCCATACACTGTCAGGAGTATAAATATGTTGGAAGAATTTTGCTTCCAGTCCCACAGATGCTGCTTTCTAGGATGTCTTGTGGTTCAAATCCTTTAGACGGGGTTCTCTGCTGGCTCTCTCCTATGAACTCCCACGCTGTGGACACTAACCTCTGTAATCCCGGCCATTGCTGCTTGCTCCAGGAAAGTCACTGCCTTCTGATGCCTGTCCCATTCATTTTCAGGTCTGTGGCATAAGAAGTATCTAGCGTAGCGGTACTGTGCCATGGGGTGACAGCTGCTGGCCGCCTGGTAGTAATAAAAAGCTGCCTGGAAAGAGAGAAACACACTTGTGTGATTCATGTAATACATGCCCTCAAACATGACATGACTCCCCTCTGGCCAGGACAAGCTTAACCTCTCTGTCTAGATCTATCACAAGCTGCACACGCTTACCCCAGCAGCTGTCCCACACCTCCCCGCCGAAGAACATGAGATTGTTTAAGTGAGACAGTGGACTGCGACTATACGAGAGCCCTCTAACCACCCTGCCTTCTCTAGTCAAAACTCCCCATGTTGAAGGGGGTGGCACTGGGCCAACAATACCAAAGCTTACTCTGTGCCAAGGGGGATCTGCACAATTACTCCAAACAAGCCGCCTCTGCAGATCTTTCCAGCTACAGAAGATGCTGACTACGGCCAGCATGCACTAGATGGCAGGCTGTAGTTAAGGTATGCAAACTGGACGGCTCGAGATGTAAAGAAGCCCTCGGATGTGCAATAGTGTTTTAAATACAGTAACATGACAGGTTTCTCCTTGGTACTCTCCTGGGTGCTAGCGGCACAGCCCGTGTACCTACGAGAAGACCTCAGAAGCTATGAGAAAGGGGATTTCAGTAGCACGTCTCTGAGGGGATCTATGACACCGACGGCAGCACTGCAAACCCACAGTTTATATTATTTCCAGCATTTTCTAACGAGACTTCAGAGACTGTCACACCCATGCAAAAGGAGAAAGGTGCCTGTGCACCCAACAAAGACCACTCTCCTGGTCTGTGCCGCACTTATACAACCCTACAAGCCGTGGATACCTTTTCCAAGTCTTTTTCCGTGCCTCTGCCATGTTCGTAACACAGACCCACATTGAACTGGGCTTTGCTGTAGCCTCGATCTGCTGCCAGTTTGAAGCAGGTGTAGGCTATCCTGTAATGGCCCGCTCTCATACTTTCAATCCCTGAGAAGAACACAACGTAGAAACAGGGAAAAAGAAAATGGACAGAATGCAGCCTCAAATGAAGCAACCTCCCCCGCAGCTACTGGGCCTTCCTCGGCGCATGCCAAGTGCTCCGGTCCACTTCTGGCTGGCTCACCAACCCTCATTCCACAGGACCAAAGTTTCCATAGGAAAAATGGCAACACTGCGTTTTAGGGGTTTTTCTAGTCTCATTGCAAAGAAGGATCAGGGGCTAACACAACGTATGGTTTGCACAGAAGCGGCTCGATTTTTTAGTGCTGCAACTAGTGGTGTATATAGGGCAGGGATTTTTTTCTTGGATCATTGCATCTTCCTTCAGCTCGTCTTAGAGTTGCAATTCTGCAATTGCTTTTTTAGCTTGCCAGGAAGACTGAGATCTCAGACAATGAAAAAGGATACAAGGATATGACAGTTTGTGTAGCAAAAAAGACAGAGATGGCTTAATTTCCAACTACAGATGTCAGGACAACAGTACAGGCTTCAACCGAGCCTGGATTTAAATATGCTGATATAAATCAGGTGGCAGGATGGGACAAAGGGCAATAAATCTCTCAAAGCACAGTTGAAATTGCTGAAAGGAGGCTTCAGCTTGGGTATATGCTATCTCTGCCTTCACACAAGACCTACACCAATTTGGAGGTCCTCCAAAAAGAGAAACGCGTGGTTTAAGGAGAAAACAAATCCAAGTCCACATTACCGAGGATATTCAATGCAATGGAAATGTCAATCCGGAAAATCTGCTGCAATTGGAAAGCAGCTTCCTCCAAATGCCCTCGCTGAGCTGGGTCACCCTGAGGAGTTAAAGAGGAAAGCTATTAAGACAGCAAAAACATACAAACCCTATAGGAGATTCTTTCTTGGAAACCGAGCAGTGAGACACATTTGTACTGTACTCTAGTTATCAGGAGGGTGATGTAATCTGGTGTCACGTGTCCACAAAAAAAATCTCCCTGTCCTACACAGCCATCTAGTTAGGGAAGCTGTGTGGACATTGCTCGCCTCCCCTCTGGCCAGGGAGCTTGGTGTAGCCTCTCGGACATCATCAGACCTTTCAGAATTTAGCAAATACCCGATACCACTCATAACTCCCCCCTTCAAAAGTAACGTTAGCCCTCGTTCACTCTCCCGCATCATGTCAACAGCACAAACAGTCTCTGCCAAACATGCATTGACATATTTGTATATGCTTTACACAATTCAAGCTGAGCCCACACTGTCAGCTTACTGAACACTGCACACTCCTAATAAAATCCTGCACAGCAGAGACAACGTCTTTTCTTTCTCAGTAATGAACAGTATTTTTTACTGTACCACAGCTCTGGGAGGTGGGAGGAGGATTAGCCTGGCCTGCAGCTTTAGCTTCCAAGCTTGCGTACAAATTCAGTGCCATCGAGCGGCAGCAGTGCACACTGCACGCGAGCCGAGATGCCTCCGCACTCGGGGAAGTCATGGAGCAAAAATGCCCCTTGCCGCCGAACAGCCTTACTGCTCAGCCAGCACTCAGGGCTGCTCACAAGAGGACAAGACATGGACTGACTCCTCTCCTCTCCTGAGACCTGCCCCACGACCTACGAAGGAGCTAGAGACTCTCCCTATGGGCCCTGCAGAAGTGGTTCCTCCTAGGATGGGGAGCTCGACGCTCACCCCCTCGGCAGACCAGGTGAACGCCTTTCTGGTGGGGGAGCAGAGGTCACTTCACGTCAAAGAGAGGATCCCACTCTGTTAAATACTGAATTTATCTCCACTCTGTTCACACTGTCCTTGAGCAATTGCACAGCTGACTGATTTTTAAAATGGGGAATCATCTGCACCTAAGACTGTGAATTGCAAGGAATTAGCAGGTTTAATCACAACAAGAACAATAATATAATTTACGGCCTTGTGACTCTCAAGCTGATGCACCCTCTTCAAGCCCAAAATGTCTTCCTCTCTATAACAGACAAGAGCCAGCCCTGACTTGCAGCTTTAGGAGGAGTGGCACCACCTTCTCCAGTCATGGGTTGTCTGGTAAAAACCAAAATAGCAACAGCATGTAATCACCTAGTGAAAGATTGCATCAAAATGCAAATTACACAAGAACAGACTAGGGCTACTGGATAGGGTGGGGGGTTTTTTGTTTGTTTTGGGGTTTTTTTTTTGCCATTTTCCTTCAGTGCTTCTCTACTAGCACCCCTGTTACATAGACACCTTAAAGGATGGGGATGCCAGTTTATAGTTCCTGGAACTTTGCTCTGGCTAAAGCAGAGGGCAGCATGTCACATCTCTCTTTCTCCTGGCCTCCAGCTGTGCAGGGCAGAAAACAGTCTTGCGTGTGAGTGGATTGCTCAGGCTGTGCTTGGGGTTGCATTGAGATGTCTTCCTGTAGGGAAGGGGCCTCAGGTGCAGACGGAGGGTGTGAAAAATGAAAGTGTACCTTTGCACTGCGGAGAACTGGCTCCAAGCTGGAGCTCTCAGGGATTTGGAACTCCCCTACGTTAAAAAAAAAAAAAAAAAAAAAGAACAAAAAAAGCAGGGTTAAGCAATGCTGTATCTTCGCCTCTTCCTCCTCTTCCCATTCTCTCTAATCCACAGCTCTTTCCTAGAGGACCGATCGCCCACCCAGTCAGGGACATTAAGAACAGAAGGAACACGGATCAGTCTGACCTTTGTATCAAAAGCAACCAAGCGCCACATGAATACAGCCCTGTAATCTGCAGCTGGCTAATGCACCTCCTCCAGAAAGGCCCCCAGTCTTGATTTGAAGACACCAAAAGGTAGAGGATCTCCCGCTTCTTCTGAAAGTTTGTTCCAGCAACTTGTAATCGCTGCTTTAAACCTCTGCGCTTCATTTCAAATTAAAATACATCTCGTTTCTGCTCCCAGGCGCTGGCTCTTCTAGGCTTTTTTTCTCTTTACTAAAAAGCCCATTCTCCTTTTGAAAGTCCCGATACGACTAATCAACCCCTCTTGATTCTCATCTGTGATTCTAAACAGACTGTGCTGTTCATGTCTTTCAAATGAAGTACTTTTCTGCCTGAGTTGATTAATTTTATGACTTTTTGCCACTATTCCTGAATTTTCAACATTGTTATTGAAGTGCGGACCCTCTCACCAGTGTCATAGGAAGGGTAAAATTGCCTCCTTATTTGAATTCGTAACTGCCTAGTTTGCATGTATCAGAACCGTGCTCCTATTCTCACTGTATCACACCGAGATCTCACACTTAGGTGCTTGCCTCCCTAGCTCCTTTTCCAGGTAATTTCTTTCCAGGGTACAGTTCTGCTTCTGCAAGGGGCTGATCAGACATGCTATTCCAGCTGCATCGTATGCAGGCTTAGGTTATCACCCCAATGTGCCCCACTCGCTCATCGCTGCCCTCTTAGACACGCTGGCACAACCACACGTTCAGCCACTATCTGACCAGTTTCAATCAGAATTATCTAACGAAAACATCTACAGCAAAAGCTAAGCCACCTTGCTCTTAACAGAATTGTGCTGGAAGTGATTACACAGGCGTTTACACCAGCTACTCTAAGAGGATGGTGACCTCCAGCAAAGGGGATGAACAGGGGAGGGCTGACTGAGGCCAATTATTTTTAACCTGAATCACAATAAGCAGCTGGATCCCACCGGGCACCTGACACCAGGTGCTGATGCCTGGATCACTTCAAGCCAGTGCTGCTAACGCAAGAAGTAGCTGTGCCTTCCCCGTGTCTCCCCGTCTCCCTCTCAAGCTGTGTGGCTGCAGAGCAGGGAGCTAATATGAGTAAAAAAAAAATCAGTCCTTCTGGGGGCCCAGTTCCTTGATTCCTGGCACTATACGGCTACACAAGCACTTGTGCCGGCACAGCGACAGAAACGACTCTGCAACAGGCAGGATTGCTTCTCGCAGTGCCTGCACCGTCTTACAATGCACATGAAGCCGTGGCCTATGTTCCAGCTGCAGCTTCATTATTCCCAGATAAATAATTCCCCCCTGGATGTATTAAAATGTGTTTGCCATAGCGATCTTGCTTGTTGGGTGAGTGGGGCTTGTTCAGATAAAATACAATTTCTATTCATCACTCCATCGAAAGTAATATAATCTGTGAATTTATTAGTTGTGCTTTACATTTATTTGCAGATCAGGCATAAAATTATCTGATCTTTCTCTCCGTAAGACTCCATCTCTTGTTCAGGTATCTCCCTCATGATGTAATTTGATTTTTTGGCATACATACAACAGCAAGTCTCGTGAAAAAAAATTGTCTGTATTAAAAATTCTCCCAACTATTTGTTTAAACAACATTAGTACATTCATGCTTTTAAGAAACTTTACATTTGGCATAGACATCTACTCCTAAATCCGAGATTCGTCATTTACTGAGAAAACATGTTGTAATTTGGACAAACCATTCCCCCATGAAAAATAAACAGGAAACTAATTCTGAATTTTATCACCTTGCAAAACTGTCTCATGCCCCTCTCCCACTGGAAATCCCTCCTCACCCAAATCCCAGGAATTTCCCCAGATTAGAGTTACCACTCCCGGAGCACATAAGGTCATTTGGAAGAAAACATAGGGACCAACCGATCGTGACACCCAGTCCTACCTCCTGAAGGACTAGATTATTGAGTTCTCTCGGAACGCACCTTTGAGGCTTGGCAAGCCTCAAATCAAAACTCTTCAGGGATATCATGATCTTTACGACTCGACTGTTTCAGAGCAGCTGCCTCAATACCAGGCACACAGTCTAAAAACAACGCTTAGGTTCCTTCAGCAGTAAACGGAGAAAAAAAAAAGCACCCCCCGGCAGCAAAGTATCCCACCCCACTTCTGCAGAATGAGAAGACCAGCTTAGATTAACCTTCAGGCTATCATTAGGCAATACAAGCTCACCCCAACGGTTTGTTTCTCATCTCCCAAAGAATGGTCAAGCTTCAGCAGAACTTCATAGGAAGCAGGCTTTGAGCAAATTCATTGCTATACTGCACACACAGAACCACATTAAATTATTCTTAAGGTTGTATGTTCAAAGCACACAAAAGCTGGGAATACCACAGTTGGAATTTTCTGTGCAACTTTGTTTCTTCTACTTCAAACGTGCTATGATGTGACATGACTATGCATCCTTTTTTCCATACAATCTTGCAGCTTTCAGTGAACCGGATGCCCAACACTCACATATTCAGCAGCTAATAAATATTTGGTATTTCCCCACTGTTCATCCTATAGTAATCAAATGTTCCTCAAAGCTAGCTCCAAATGAGGAATTAATAATCTTCTCACAGACAGTCTAGATTGCTCATCCCAAAACATCCAACCGCTTCACAAGAATGAATTCACAACAAGAGCTGGACAAAATCCAGGATTTCTGCCTCATGGAAAATTTTAGTGTTTCCAATTGGTTTCATTGTGCTTTGAAATGAAAACACACTTTTGAAATGTCTGTAATCTCAGAATTGAAATAACGAATTTTACAGTTCTGCCAGGGGTAAAATACAACTCCCCAGGGCAGCATTCAGCTGCTATAACACTGAGACTGGCTGTAATCACCTGCTTGTTCACTACGTGCCTTTAACTTCCGGCAAAAAGCTTCATGTGAAGCACAAATTGCATGAAAAAAATAGGATGTGATCATGCAGCTGAGGACTTGCTGATAGTAATATCCAGAATGCTACTTAAAGCAACTTTTAAACGAATTTCCTGAAGTTTTGTTTTTAAACACACTAAAAGTAATAGATTCTATCATGTTGTGTTATTTTAAAACCGGAATGGCTCATCTGCGAAGCTGGGGTGTTTGGATCCGTCACAAAGATCTTTGCCACTTGAGGTAACGAAGTAGCTGACAGCAATAACAGATTGTCACTGTATATGTAGACCAGCACAAGCAAGTCTGGAAATTAACCGAAACACTGAAGGAAAGGGTGAGGACATGGAATTCTCTCTAGAAGGTCCTTTGCCATTGCTGGCAACAGCAAACTGGAGAAGTGAAGGTACGTTCTGCTCCACCCCGAGTTCTGGAGGTCTGTTCTCTAATGGCAAGACTTTGCTACCAGATTCTCCTGTATCATCTGCCAGGCATCTGTCCTTCCCCTCCTTCTGCTCTCCCCAGCTTCTTGCTGCATTCTGATTTAGCCAGCCTCGATCTTTTTCGGTAGCTAAACACCAGGGAAAAAAAAAAAATCCTAAACCTTAGGCACCTTTTTCTGTAGAAAGCAAAACATACTCTGAGAGAAAGGTATCACCAAGGCATCACCAAGCTTCACTTTAAAACTTTCCACGGAAAGATTCACAGGACTTCTCACATTACAAACCTATGCATTTTTTCATACTCTTCAGTGAAAATGACTGAATCTCTTCACCCTGACTTTTCTCAACAAATTCCCACAAAATGGATGCACAGCATAATGTGAGAATGTAACCTGAGGACCTATGTATTGAGAAAAATCAAATTATTTCTGACATATTATCTCTGACAACTGACACTCATAGATGCTTGGGCAAAAAGTGTAAGGAACAGGAATTATAAATTCACGCTTCTCCTGGCAGAACTTTCCAGCAATCAGCTGTTCTGTGATCTTCTGAGCAGGAGGTTTCAGCTGGACCAATTAAGTTTAATTTGAATGTGTAATTTTACCTAATCACTTCTCAGAACCCATTTATACTTCTGGCCTGTAGCAACGAGTTCCACAATTTACCTGTGCACTGGCCAAACACGTACTGTCTTTTGCCTTTTTTCAAACTCGCTACCCGATCATTTCTGTGCTGCCTATTAATATGTGTATTATGAAAAGCCTTGTCCCTGTTCACCTTTCCTCAACACTTTTAGTTTCGCAGAGCACTAGCACACCCTCTGCCACTTCTTTTTTAAGCTGAAGAGTCAGTCTCTATTTGTATGTAATTGTCTCCTCGTCAACCTTTTCTATGCCATTTTTGTTACTGTTTTTAAGACAGAGTGTCTTTTCCTTAAGCGTTCAAGATGTGGCTGCATCATAGACTTACACAAACCTACGATACTGTCTCGTCCTCAGTTCCTTCCTTTACAATAATTAACATTTAATTGGCCTCGCTGCTGCTGAGCGCTGACTTAACCTTATCAAAAACATATCCACAGTGACTTTGAATGTTCCCTCTGCAATCTAATTATTAATTGGACACTCCTCATTCTGTATGTGTATTTACAGTTACATTCCCCTGCATATACTAATTTAACCTACCTTGGGATTACCCTGGTTTTCGTTCTTGTGCAATCTTTTGCTGTGACTTTCACCGTCGACTGTCCTGAATAATTTTGTACCACTTGCTTCTTCTGCCACCTCACTCGTCACCTCTTTTTTCCAAATCACTGCTGACTGTGCTGAACAGAGCAGGTTTCAACAAAGCACTTAGGGGAATCCACCAGCAATGGCTCTCCATTGTGAAAACTATTTCTTGTATTTTAAGGAGTTACTAGCCCAAGAGTAGCCCCTCCCTCTTCCTTCACATCAGCTTTATTTCTCCAGATAGCTTTTTTTTTTAGGTCTTGGCTGAAAGATTTTCAGAAAGCTAAAAGCTGGATAATCTTGCTCCACATGCCTGTTGACTTCTCCGAAGAACTCTTAAGAGATTTACAACTCTCTTAAGTCTCTTCAATGGAGCAAGCTGGCCTGAGAAATGGCTTCCTAAATCTTTCCAAGACCTTTGATTCTTTGATATAGCACGCTCATCCAGGTATCTAACATCTCTATTCTGTAACACAGTTTCTATCAACTTAGAATTACCTTTTTTGCAGTTTTGCGGCTCAGTCAACCCCCCCTTTTTAAAAGCCTGCGTCCAATTTGTCAGTGTTCATTCTTCTGGTCATACAGCAGATTTAAGCACCGGATTACTTATCATCATTAGAGGCTCAGTGATTTCATAGCTTCTGAAGAACATCTGAACAAAGAGCATGTGGCCTTAGTGACTTGTCACTGTTCAATTTATCAGTTTGCCTAAAAGCTCTTCCTATTGACTCTCAGCAGGAGACTGTTTGTCAGACACAGACGCACGTTCACTCCTGGCTGTTCAGCTGTGCCAACTGAAGGCATCACCGTCTGCACTTACTCCCCACCACTTCTCCCAGAGGTCCATGTCCAGTAATCTGCCAGCAAGGCAGCGTGTTTGAGTGCTTCTTAATACGCTCCAGGCAAAAGCAGATGGGTTAAACAGTCTAATTGGCAGTTTAGGTAAATTAACCTGGCTGTTTTCCTGGAGCTAATTAGGAGACATGGAAACAAAATGCTCTATTTGCCAACTGATCGGAATGGTAACCTCTGGCAGGAGATGGGTTTGATAAGCAGCGATGGGCAGTAGCTTAAATCAGCACAGAAGAAAGCGAAGAATGGGGAACCCCTCTGACCTTTTCTGCAACACCTTACATCGTCTAGTCAACATCTGTGGGATTGATTTTTATGTGCCTCTTCTACACCACGATCATATGTTGTGCCCCTTTCTACCTGCTCCAGCAGGCTTCCTGCTTCTAACAGTTTTCCTGAAGTGTTTATACATCTAGTAAGCAGCCCTGTTGTAGGCCTCAGCTGATCCTCCTTGATAGGGCTTTACATGTAACATGTAGGACATGCTTTCCTGGATATGACTTCAAATTTTTTGAAGGATAACTTCCTATTTTTATAAAACTCCTTTTAATAAGAATGTCTTTGACACCTCCTTCCACTGTCTCATCTACAGCATAAGCGCTTGAATATACATCCTCATCTTCCAGGAAGAAAATAATTCCTTTAGTTTCACACCACGTAGACAAGTCTCCCAGATCACTGGTGCAGTATTTGCCTGAATTGCCCACAATAAAAGGACAGCAACCTCATTACAGCATCCAGTTTCTAAGGCAGACCAGTATTGCTAAAGCCGATGTCACCTGCACAGTTACAGCGCAGGCTCCTCCCTGCCTTCAGGAGCTTTTTTCCTCCTGTCTCTGGACTCCTGATTCATCTCTCTGAAGTTCTGTCTTTCCACTCTAACCTATCTCCTCAAGCGTCAATAAATGGCTATAGGCTTCTTGGCTCCTAGCTTTGCCTTGGGGAAACTCAGACGCTCAGAAGTCCTTCTGCCGCAAGTATCCTACCTCGCAGCACATTGCACGTACCTACTTCTGCCCAGGGCTGGCCCTCTCCTTGCCCTGAGGGGATGCCTGAGGATGAATTCTCTGGTACAACCTCCGGACTTCCTTTCTGCAGGAAGTGGGACCCCAGCTGCGCACCGGGACAGCTGGTTGAGGCTTCAGTCACCACTGAAATACAGAGTGCAAAACGGTTCCTGTTAGCTGTGCAGTGTCTGCTTTAGGAGACGACACCGAACTGTATATCTACCCAGCGTCCTTCTCTGCTCTGACTGCAAAGCCAAGCAGGAGGAAAGTTCAGTGAACAGAGCCCAGAACAGAAAACAAAGGTAAGGGCATGCGGGATGCAAAGTGGGATTGCACCAAATCGTTAAGAAACAGCGAGATTCCCCTGACAGATACCAGCCCTCACTCTCCCCAGAGAGCTTGAAAGCTGGTTGTCAGCTTCTCACAACAGCTCTCTTCCAGTCTTAGTTAACATATCACGAGGCAGAAATCCTGTCCGACAGCTGGGCCCTCCCACAACCGCTTCTCACAAGCCAGAGCTGCTAACCTGTCTGCTGAGAGGGCAACGAAGAAAGCCAGAGAGACCTGTGCTCTCTCCTGGTGTCCGGCAGCGACCTCAGCCACGAGATCTGTCTGACCAGCTGCAGAAGCAGCGCACCGAGCGCTCCCTGAAGAAAAGCAGACACAAGTCAAGGAAGACAGCCCCACTCCCTCTTTCTGTCCCGCTTCCATTCGGCAGCTTGGCCACAGCTCCGTTTCGGGGAGCCCTCCCACCACAGCTACCCTCCCTGGGGGTTCCGCCGTGCCCACTGCTCCCATCCCCTTTCACGCCCCCAAGGTCTTCTGGCGACATCCCTCCCAGCCAGGGGCACCCGGCCCTGCCTGCTGCTCCTCACCCAGGTGACGGCCTCCAGCACGGAGTAGCGGGGCACCAGGCCGGGCAGGGGCTGCTGCCTTCCTCTTCGCTGCTGGCCATCCCGGGGCCGTCCATCCTGGCAACCGGGCGCTCTAAAACAGCCAGAAGACACCAACACCGTGAAGCCAGAAATCAGCCCTCATACATCCCCC